TTATCGCTGATTACTCACCAAAATTGAGAGTTTCCAGCGTGCTGTGCCCACATTTCTGGTCCTCAAGTCTAAAACGGTGCAATTTCTTACACTGCAGTGAAATACTTTAGGCCTGCAGTTTTGGCAGTGAGTTATACTGATGAAGATAGCGCTTGATTTTAAGAACTGTATACTTTGACGTGTTTTCCTTTTAAATACATACCCACCAGACATCTTGCATGGAAGGAATGGAAGACAGAGCAGAAGTTTGCTAGAAGTCTCGTTTTCACAGGCATAGAGCGAGAGACAAATCAAGCAGTGTCTAAAGTTTCCAGCGGGGTGAGAGGATGAAGTGTCACTGATGGCCTCTCAATTGTTAATTTATAAAGAAGTACAGCCCCGAAAAGTGTTCTCAGCAGCTTTTCCCCTTTAAAACAAAATGTTAATGGCTGTGGATGGAGGCGTAACGGGGCTCAACACCCCCATTTCAATGTGTGATCTGGCCAACAGTTACCCTCCCTCTCCGCCTGGATTTTCAGTGTAAAACAAGCGTCCTTGAAGCCTCCGTGGTGTCAGGCAGACCAGCAATACACATTCATTTCCCAGGCTTGAGGTGGCCAGAATTTGGATCTACAGTCACACCCTAGCCAGCTGCAGAATGGCAAAGATTTTTGTTCCCTTTTGGCTTCTTACATCCAGGCTTGGATTATTTAAAAAAAAGAAAGGGAACCTCCACCCCCCCAACAAAAATAATTAACTCCCCCCCCCCCAAGAAAATCTCTACCACTTAAATAACCCCTCCCCAAATTTCTCCCGAATAAACTCTTTGCTTCCAACGTCTATTGGGCGTTCCTGAATGCAACCATCTGCCTGCGGGTTGATGGGTATCAATAGTTTTGTTATGACTCGGAATGTTTCTGGAAATGAAATACCTGATCTGAATCCGATTAAACAGCATCCTGTTGACATGAACCCACAAATCCCAAACACTGTCCCAAGTACGGCTGAGGTTGCAATGTGGGGGCACTGAAGCAAAGGGCAGGGCGATTATAACCCGCGTGGTCTCAGACGTAGTTTTTAAGTGTATGTCTCCGGTTTCGGTCCTTTCCCCTCCACTTTATTATGTAAATGTAAACCCGTGTGGAGAAGTCGGATGTGTAAATGTGTTCCGGTCTGGGTCTCCGTTTCCGATCCGGATAGCAGGAGAGGTCATTCCCTCGGGACACTGGGCTGAGGGAGGAAACAGCATTTGTGTATTTCCCCCAGGCACTGTCAGGGCTCAGGCCCGTCAGAAACGTGACCATTAAGGGCCCGATCCTGCTCCCACTGAACTCAAACGGGGGGAGTTCCCACGGACGGCAGTGGGGACGGGGCCAAGGGATTTCAAGGGACTACGGACGGCGTCTGCCAGCCCCCGCTGTGCCCTGCCCAAAGGGCGCAGACCCGCGCGCCTCCCTCCGCCGAGGGCAGCCTGTGTCCCCACCCAGGAACACGGACCCTCCGCGGCGCGGCGCTGGGACCAGCCCAGCTCCGGCTGCCGGGCCGAGCCGCTCCGCAGCCTCTAGCCCTGCCCTGGGGCAGGCGCGCTGCGGGGAGTAGGTGGCCCCGCGCAGGGGCAAGGGCCCGGGTCTGGCCGCTAGCCCCGACCCTCCCCGAGCGCCTGAGGACGGGGCGAGAGCGGCTGCGGTTCCCGGCACGTGTTCGCCCCTGTAAGCCGCTTAGAGCCGAAGCGGCTCTGTTCTGCCGGGGCTTTGCCCAGAACTTTGTGGGGACGATCCCGGGCCAAGCCGGGGGTGTTAGCGCGAAGTGCCCCCCTAGGAGGAAAATGGGCAGGGGCCAGCCCCAGCGGGGAGCCAAGAGGCTGCTTGCAAAGGAGGCCGCCCAGACCAGAAGCGCTGGGGCAGGGGGAGGGACACCCCACGGCCACCGTGAGCCTAGTCTGGGGGCGAGCGCAGGGGCTGGTACCTCTCAGCGCTGCCCCATGAATCCCTGGGGGCTCTGTGTCTGGGCGTTCACCCAGGCAGGGGTTTGTGCCAACAAACAGGCCAGGCGGATCACACCTCCCAACCACTGCCAAGGGGGCTCTCGGGCGGCCCAGCCTGCCTGTGTTACACCCTGGGGAGGGCGGGGGCTGCACTGCAGCGGGCCGGAGGGGAGGGAGGCCGCTGCTTTTGTGTCTTGTCTAAATTCAATTCCTGAAGGATCCATCCATCCGTCCAAACCTTAGCGCCGGTGTGTCATGCAGGCGGCCTTCCGCTGAGTGATCATCCCTTAGGTACGTTCCTGGAGCCAGCTGGGCTGTTCTTTTATTTGGATTCGGCCCCTTTTTCCTTTTCTGTCTGATAACCTGGGCTCACTTAAACTTGATCCAAAGCCCGTTGAAGTCAATGGGAGTCTTTCAATTAAGTTTGGGATCAGAGCCTTGGTGGCTGGAGGAGAAGGGGGTGGGGGAGGTTTAGGCTGCATGCTTTGTAAATCATTTGCAGTTGGGAGAAGAGCAGTTTTCCAAATCCAGCTGAATTTTTCTCTCTCGGAGATAGAGTTTAATGCTCCATTTTAACACAGGCTGATTATCCTACCTGGAGCCAGAACCTTCCCTTTCACTGATTTTTAAAAGTAGAAATGTACAAGATCTTGGGAACTAACTTTAAAAAGTGGTTTCAGAGTAGCAGCCGTGTTAGTCTGTATCCGTAAAAAGAACAGGAGTACTTGTGGCGCCTTAGAGACTAACAAATTTATTAGAGCATAAGCTTTCGTGGACTACAGCCCACTTCATCGGATGCGAAGAAAGAAGTGGGCTGTAGCCCACGAAAGCTTAGGCTCTAATAAATTTGTTAGTCTCTAAAGTGCCACAAGTACTCCTGTTCTTTTTGGGATACAGACTAACACGGCTGCTACTCTGAAACCTTTAAAAAGTGGGTTTTGTGTGTGGATATCAGTTCCTAAAGTTGTGGTGTTCTCTAAAAAGAGTCCCAGCTTTCTCAAACATTTGAGGCCCTTGCAATGAAACATTGGCAGTGATGAAAGGTAAGTAACACAAACAAAAAAGATCCAGTTCCTTTCTTCCCCCCCGCCCCCAAACTGCTAATTTACTGATGAAAGTACTGGAATACATAAGAAGCCAGGCCAGAGTTTGCAATACATTTCTGTTTTGCAATGTAGGATGCACAGACTTCACTTTTGATAAGAGATCTACTGCAGAGTCACTTTGGAGACAGGAATAATATAAGATTACATCTGCTTAAAATTGTATATTCATGCCACACCAGATTCAGTCTCTAAACTGAGCACAGTCTTTCAGCAGCCTTTATTGTAAAATCCTTTTTAACACACCACATTATAGAGGAGCAAATTTATTAAATGATAACTCTCATGTCCCAACTTTGTCAAATTAAAAGAAGAAGAAAAAGAAGTGTTATCAGCCATGTTAAATTAATAAATCTGCTTAGCCTCTCCAGGCTGTTTTAGTGCTGCATTTCTTGGAATCTCTTTTTATTAATACCTGATCTTCAAATAAACCTGTTAAATGATTCCATGCGCTGTGCCTGTGAGAGGCATGTCCACTCTTGTTTCAGTTCTCCTTTGAACTGATTGAACTATTGTGGTTCTAGATAAAAGACTCATCAAAGACTAAAGATAATAGAGCAGGCTGACCACAACACTTTTTTGGATGGTCTTCAGGTGTGAAAATTGAATACCTATTCCTCCCAACTAAATGCATTAATAACAGGATGGATTCATCAATTGGCATGAGAGCAGAGGTCATCTTGAGGAAAATTACACCAAAAGTCATCTGCTTTAAGAGATCCTGGGCAGGATGCCAAATATTACATATAAGGCGACACTGTCCCTTTTCTCCAAAAATAAAAAGACAGGATCAACAAGATTGTTAGGGAGGCAAAGGAGCTGTCTTGAAAAGGAGCTGTCTTGCTTTGCAATGAACGTGTATGTGGGCATTTATATATGTATAAATGCATGATTTGATTGAAACATTTCTGAATAAACATGATCTAATGTAAAATTTCCCACTACACAGAAACATTGTTTTAAGTGGCATGCTTGAAAATATTTAAATACGCCACTCTATTCAGTTTGATGTTGAAAGTGATCTTTACATTGTGGAATAATAATTTAGTTGGCACAAATTGTACAGTTGATTTTTTTTTAAAAGCTGCAGAGCTGTTTTGCAGTCAAAATGCCAAATAAACCCATAGATAGTCTTGCTTTTTTTTCCCCAATCTTAAACCAGGTATGCAATTTTTTCTTGCTATGTTTATGTCATGATATGACCATACATTGATGTAGCTGTAGCTATACTTCCTGCAAAATACTTGCTGTATATATGTATACATAGTATATATATAGTCCAATGAAGAAAGTTAGATGTAACAAACATAACAAAATATCCATATTTAAAGAGCATAGATTGACTCACTGGTTTATCTCACTTATTGTACACAGATTCATCGTAACTGTGTTGAATCTTTTAAAATTAGATTTTAAATATATTTTGACAGTCTGAACTTGTATAGTGTGAGTAACCGTAGGGAGAAATGACAGCTCTGGTTTTGTTATTAAACTGTTGTCTGGAAAATAATGGACTACATACAGAAATTGGTAATTATTTTGCCAGTTACATTAGCACAGCTAATAATAATAAAGATTTTTATTTAAGAAAACTAAATGCTTTCACCTATTGTAGTTTGATATTCACTGTCAAGACAAAAATTGTATTTTTGTTTTACTAAGATAATTGCGCTATCATTAAGATCCTCCTGTTATTAATGTGAATAAAGGACAGGTCTGCTATTTAAAAATTTTCATTTTAAACAGTGTTCCATTAAGTTCATCAGCACTAGAATACTGTTAATAAATAATACAGAAGAATCTCTGACATTAAATTAGCATCCAATCAGAACAGTTCCGCTCTGTACAATATCAGTAAAAGTGACATATTTTACAGTGTTTTAAAATTCTTTATTAATTATGTTTTGTTTATTTTAATATATTTACTAAATTAGGTACCCAAGAGAATCTTCTACATCGGTGATGTGAAAATGCCTGTTGCCTGAAGTAAAAAAAAAAGGTACATTTTGATTTTCATTTGCATACTTGAGTAAGAGGGGTTTTTTTCTTTGTTTTGTTTGTTAATATGAAACTTACTTAATAACCCATGGAAGTTAGATCGGGCTCATATTCAGGTGTGTAAAAGTGACATGGGCAATGTGAATGCTTTTTACTTTTGTTTACTAAGCATGTCTCCTACGTAGTATAATTTGTATTTTATTCCTTGCAAACATCTTATTTTTTTGTCTTCAAATGCTGGCATTCAGAAACTAGCTATGGAGGTTAAGTATGAGACTACATAAGATCTGTCTCAAATTTTGATGAAAATGATAGATCTCTGTATTGTTTTATGTACATGCCCAGAATTTTCAATTGAATGAGAAGCATAATGCTGTCTTCCTCTCCCAAATCACATCCATTCAGTCTATCACATTTATAGAATATACAATATTAATGAAAATGAGAAGATCAAACTTTTATACACACACACACACACACACACACCCCTCCTTAGATTCAGGCAGACATATGGTCCATGGGATCTGTTTATTATCAGGCTCAACTGTAAAAAAACACTAAGCGGTTTAAATGGGATTTTCAATTACAGAGATCCCTGTGTGAGTTTAATTATGAAATCTCTTATTTTAGACAAGAATACAGTCTACAACACTTATATCAACAATTAAGGGTGTTATTAAACAAAATACTGTTAGTTTTTATTAGCTAGTGCAACTGAGTTTTATTTTTATTTAAAATTTGGCTGACTGTGTGGAGAAGGGGGGTTGATCCTGCAGAATTCATGCAAGTCAAACTCCCATTGACATTTGCAGGAGTTTTGCTTGGGTATAGGCTGCAGGATTGGGCCAGGGGAGAACTTCATAAGAGACACATTTTGTGACCTGATTCTCCTTTCAACTTACATGAGTTATACACTGGTGTAATCTCACTGATATCAGTAAATTTACAACTGATTTATAGCGTTTTAAGCAAGAAGAAAATCAGACCCCTAGTTTTATTATGGGTCCTTGTAGAGCATATTATGTTGCATATATTGAAAAGGCTTGAATAGGAATTTTAAACATAGTCAAGATACTTGTTTTCACTGTTCAGGTATAGTATATTGTCGATCAGCTCATTGCTAACAAGAGTTCTTTATTTTAAATAAGCTAAGATCAATCATTTCTAAATTTGTTCAGTTATCTATGGACATGTTTTTAAAAAGTGTTTAATTTAATGTATAATTGTAATAACACGACTTATATAGGCACAATGTACCCTGGCCTGAAAAATAGACACAATAATTTCATTTACTTGTATATTTTTTGGTTGTCCTGTTAGGCATTGTTGAAAAAACAGATCCCATTACTTTGAAACAAATATATATTGGGTCTAGGAAGAGTTAATGAACTTTTATGGCCAGGTTGAGATTGGACTGACCCCATGGTAATATTTCATCTAAGGTTACTGTTGGGAGAGAAATCAAATTTCAGCTGTGAACATGATTGACAGGTAAATGCAAGAAAAAGAGAGACATCTGCTCAGATGGGGAATTTGGGAAGGAGAAGGCCAGTTCAGGGAAGTTTCTCTGTGATATTAGGAATAATAAGCTTAGATATGAAAAGTCCAATACTTTGCACTCTCTGGAGGCGCACTTAGTTTATTCTCATAAAGTCAGTTTGGTTAAGGGAATTTAATACTATAGGAGGATAGTAGTGGACAGTGGTCTCAGTGATCTCATTGCTAATTTGATTTCTTTGAAGGAATTATGTTATTTCTAGCATATTTGTAGCAATGCGGGCATTTCATATGATGTGTGTAAATAAAGTCTATTGTAGCTGTTGATTAAGATACAGTCACTATACAAACTAAACTAAATTAATGGAGATATCCTATCTCCTAGAACTGGAAGGGACCTTGAAAGGTCATCAAGTCCAGCCCCCTGCCTTCACTAGCAGGCCCAAGTACTGATTTTGCCCCAGATCCCTAAGTGGCCCCCTCAAGGATTGAACTCACAACCCTGGGTTTAGCAGGCCAATGCTCAAACCACTGAGCTATCCCTCCCCCCTCTTTTGATATATGTAAATGTAGTAAGATTATGGACCAAATAAATCCTCGGCATAATTCCATGCACTTTTTCCTGTGAAAGTCAGTGGGAGTTGGTTCATGTTCCTGATATATATCACTATATTAATAATGAAATTAAAATATAAGCATGGATATGAGGTGGTATTTTATGAGATAATCCATATAAAGCTGGGGTGGGGAAACTTTTTGGCACGAGGGCCACATCTGGGTATGGAAATTGTATGGTGGGCCATGAATGCTCATGAAATTGGGGGGTTGGGGTATGGGAGGGGGTGAGGGCTCCGGCTGGGGGGTGTGGGCTCTGTGGTGGGGCCAGAAATGAGGAGGTCAGGGTGCAGGAGGGAGCTCTGGGCTGGGGCAGGGAGTTGGGGTGTGTGTGTGGAGGTGAGGGCTCTGGCTAGGGGTGCGGGCTCTGGGGTGGGGCTGGGGATGAGGGGTTGGGGGGTGCAGAAGGGTGCTTTGGGCTGGGACCAAGGGATTTGGAGGGCGGGAGGAGGATTAAGACTGGGGCAGGGGGTTGGGGCGCAGGAGCGGGTCAGGTGCAGGCTCCAGGCAGCATTTACCTCAGGCAGTTCCTGGAAGCAGCAGCATGTCCCCCCTCCAGCTCCTACACGGAGCCACACCCAGGCGGCTCTGCGCGCTGCCCCATCCACAGGTGCTGCCCCTGCAGCTCCCATTGGCCACGGTTCCCAGCCAGTGGGAGCTTCAGGGGCCGCGCTTGGGGCGGGGGCAGCGTGCAGAGCCCCCTAGCTGCCCCTACACGTAGGAGCCAGAGGGGGAGATGCTGCTGCTTCTGGGAGCTGTGCAGAGCCACGGCACACGTGGAGCGGGGCAAATGCCTGATCCCACTCCCCGGCTGGAGCGCCTGAGCGGGGAAAGCCCCCAACCCTGCTCACCGGCGGGAGCTTAAGGGCCAGATTAAAATGTTTGAAGGGCCGAATGTGGCCTCCAGGCGGTAGTTGCCCACCCCTGATATAAAGCCTCTAGTGATGTTAGGGCTGGTCCACACTAAGCCCCCAGTTCGAACTAAGATACGCAACTTCAGCTACGTGAATAACATAGCTGAAGTCGAAGTATCTTAGTTCGAACTTAAAGGTACTTACCGCGGGTCCACACGCAGCAGGCAGGCTCCCCCATCGACTCTGCCTACTCCTCTCGCGGAGCAGGATTACCGGCGTTGACGGTGAGCACTTCCGGGATCAATTTATCGCGTCTAGACAAGACGCGATAAATCGATCCCAGAAGATCGATTGCTTGCCACCGAACCAGCGTGTAAGTATAGACATACCCTCAGTGTGGGTCTTGTGCAAGATTGAAGGCTGGCATATGGCCCTAAACATTCTTTCCCAATGTATTTGTTACACTATTCAACCTTTCCTGTTAATTTTATTTGGTGCAGAAAAGCATTTCCACTTTCTAGCATAAGGGAGTCAACAGCCAAGAGCAAAATGCCACAGCAAGGGCCAAATTATGCCCTGTGATATGTGTCTCCATTGCCTTTGACGTCAGTGGGATTTTAATGCTATTTGTGTGAAGGCCAAATTTGGTTCTTCTTACACAGACCGTAATATAATGTTCCTGTTCCCCTTATAGATGAACGTCAAGAGCAAATCTAATTGTTTATGGACTTTACAGTTTATAATCGCCTCATAATATTTTTTTTTCAAAATAAATGAATTCTTTTTGTTTATTTTTGGAGGATTACCTTAGTAATTTTTGGAGGGCTGCATTGACGGTAACTCAATAGCGTGAAACCTAAACTGCAACTCATCTGCCTCTCTGCTGAGGAGGAAGAGATAGTGGGTGAAATCCTGACCCAGTGAAGTCAATGACAAAACTCTCACTGACGTCCTGGGGCCAGAATTTCAGCCAGTGTGTTTAAGGGCTGTCTAGGCAGGAAGCTATACTGGTATAAGGAAAGATGTGAATGCACACTTACATAATCCCCCATATGGAGACTCTTATTTTGGAATAAAAGTGACTTTTTCCAGTTTGGTTAAGGTTGTTTTGGAGATGGTTTAAACTATACTAAAAAAAGCCGCTCTTATTTCAGAAGAAGAGCGGCCATAGGGAAAGTTATACCAGTATAACTCTCTTGGTATAATTAAACAGATGTAGTTTTGCCATTGAATTTCCCTATGTAGACAAGCCCTAAAGTTAAGGTGAGGATAAGGAGAATTAAAGAACACACACACATTTCCTTTCCCTTTTGCAGCTTACCATTAAGAACTTTCATGCAAGGGAAACCTTTTAAATAAAGCAGGCTTAAAAGATAAATCTATTCACTTTTCATTTGATTTTTTAGGATTTGCTCCTTGTACCCACACATAGTTATTAAAAAGATGTGCTTGCACAGGAACTTGCTCTTTCCCATGCTTTGTTCCTGTCCAGCTTTAGTGTGCATTGAAGTCAGAATCTAGGATATGACTTCAACATTCATTTTCACGGCAACAGACTGTGATGTCACAAACACCAGATGATGACTTCAATAGAGACAGTAGAAGGCTGGGTCTTAAACACACACGTTCTTTTCTAGGGCTAAGTGTCTGATATAATGGAAAGGGAATATAGGCAATAAGTAACCAGCTAAATTTCTGTGTGTATGAATGAGCTCTGTTTGAGTTTGCAGTCGTGTGTAAGTACCCCTTTACAAATTGATTTCATTTTACTAAATTCTAAATTATGCATAAAACTTCCATGGCATATTATTGGTCAAGTTCCCATCAAAGTCAGTAGAAGCCATGTATGTGCACATGTAGCCAAACGAGGGCCTTTTTTATATTAGGCCTGTTTCAAATGGAAGGTATTTTGCTATGTCAGTCAAGAGAATGGGAGCAAACCCCCCACCATGTACAATTTACAGGGTGTTTTACAGAAATTCTAGGTAAAACAAGTTTGATTCATCATGAAAGTGTAAACTTAATAAATACTGTA